CATGGTGGTATATGGACCAAAATATCAGCAGCCGTGTGTTGATTCTGAAAACCTTGTGAAGACTTATGGAAAATGTTTGACCAATGTTTTTTCCAACAAAAGGTATAAAACAATGCATTAAGATTAACTATTGTTATTCTTATTTTTGATCATATTTGCAAATAGATTCTAAACAAATCACGTGAAACACCTTTTGAATTTTTTTCTTGTTTTTTCTCATTATGTCTCTCGTAGTTAAAAGAGATGCGATGCTTGTAATTTTAAATGGAAGGAATTGCAAAATTGGTGGCCCACTAAATAAATTTCTCCCCACTGTACTTTCATCTCCTTTAAATTTGCATGTTCGTGTTTGCGTTTGCATCTAATCCACATCCTTTTCACTGAGCATCCAAAAGTAGCGTTTGATTACCACAGCATTATGAAACCAAAAGCAGCTGTGTCCTTGTGCTGCACAAACTGAGCTATGTCAGGGAAAGATCTCAAACATGGAGAGGAGGGAGAGTGCAGTCGCCTGGTCAGGTGTGAACTTTTGGTGACTTTGCATGAGAGCAGAGATTATGGAACCCCTGCGGAGCTGAAGAGCAGCCTTTCCCCACCGCCAAAGCAGAAGAGTGATGAATGCAGCCAAACTGAAGACCGCTTTGCAATTTAGAGACTAGAGACAAACGGAGAGGGCTGATATTAAAAGCCTAAATATATAAAAGCAACAGTGATGTCTTATTATGGCTGAACATTTGAGCAGCAGTGTAATTTAGGGGACCTGCACAGGCATCCATTAGCAGTGAGCAACATAAAGCTCTTTCCCAGAAGTGATTTATGCATTCAATAAGACTGGGCTGGATCTCATTTCCTTCTCTTCCCATTACACATCCTTCTGTGAGACAGCAGCAGTTTAGGCTATACAGTATGGCAAAGTGGATGTGCCAGATGAAGGTGCCCCGTTGAAAAAAACAAAAAAAAGGCCAGACGGAAGAGCGCTAAATGCTCCCGGGGCAATTTTGTGTGTGTGTTTGTCTACAGAATGACTTTGCAGCACATGCACGACCAAACTCTGCATCATGGGAATCAGAGCAGGTGCACCAATGTTTGATTTAACCCTATGTGCACCAGGCTCCTCTAACAGATTACCTGTGAGGGTTGGCAGATAGGGAAAAAAAAGCATGAAACATAGACATGCATGCAGGAGCGGGGTTGTGGTATGACATTTCATAGTAGCCTCACAGTCTTACCAAAGCAAAGTTTTAAAAAAGTCTGTATTTTTAAAACTATGACCCACCTATATCAATTATGTTTGTATCGCCCGGCATTACAACAGCAGTCGTCTCAAGTTCCGTCACAGAACCGCCAACTCCCAACAGCAGGCTGGGGACCGTTCCTCAGGTCCAGGGAGTCCATGGCGGTGGAAAAAAGGCGCTATGGCAGGAGCGCTGTTGTGTACCATCTGGTGCACACTGGGGTAAGTCTTGCACAGTTTTTCCAATGTGGTTTTACTGCAAATGGGTGAACAACAATGCACAGTCCACATTTAAGCATCATTGGCCGTGAAAACAAGGTCTGTTTTTCCTGTAGTTCGTGGATGTGACAAAAAGTCTGGTGCATCAGGCAGTCATGTAGCGTGCATTCACAACAGATGTGGGTTGATTAGTGTATGTGGCATTAAAAACAGCGCATTCAATTGTAGCGTATGGGACAGCAATAGTTTAGTATTTTAGTCTGCATCTGGGCAATACTATTGTGAACTCTTATACTAATTGTGCATCATTCTGACAGTGATGTGAAATGACGTCCTCCACGCATCACATTAGTGTAGCAGTACAGTTTGTGATTGACTTTTCACTTGTAGACTTTTTGAATGTTGTAAAATAAAAAAAGTTCAAAGCCAATATATCTTAAGAAAGTGCTGGTGCTTTGAAGGACATTGATAGAAACCCAGAGGTGAAGACAGAGGACTCAAAGCTGCTGACTTTGACACTGAACCTGCTGGTTTCAGAGGAAATGGTGTTTAAATTTGAAATCACTGAGCAATTAATCTGCAGGGAATGAAGTTTGGGACAAGGAATGAGGTGCAGAGGGATGACGGAAGTCCAAATCAGCAGAAAAAAAGGTTTGAGGAGGAAAGAAAGCTGCTTACAGTAACACCCATTAATTTCCCCAAAGACAGGAGAGCATATTAATCCACACTTGTGAGCCCAGCAGCTGTGATTCAGGCCAAATCCAATCTCAACACACACAGAGAAGACGTTAAAGGCATCTCCGTGCATGTCCAATCAGAGTTAGTTACAGGAAAGCACCGATCATCAGGATGCTGGGTCCAATAGCTGCTTTAAGACCCTCATCATTTCACTGCAGAAGTGCTCCTCTGCAGTTTAAACCAGTTTGAGCAGCTATCGGACTGATGATTGAAGTTTGCATGTTCTCGCTGTGTCTGCATAAGTTTCCTCCGGGTGCTCTGGTTTCAAACATGTTCAATAGGAGAGGGTTGAATGATTGTGAGTTTTTTTAAATGCAGCTGGGACTACAGATGGTTGCTGCTGTTCATTAATACACACTGTCCAATCCAAAATAAAGAAAGAATAACTAAACAGAGGTAATAAGACAAATAATATTCAGCAAGATAAGCCAATTTTTGTCTCAAGTTCATGCAGACAATAGGTTTCTTTACTATTTCTAATCCAGTCAACAGCCTAATTAGGTCAATACACCTTTTGAGAAAACATCCTGAAACAGAAGCACTATCATTTTATCATTTTACAGACTTGTGAGTCCAAAACAGTATACAATATTGCAGAATTTGGTACCATATTTGAAACTGTACGAGCCTAATCTCGCACAAACACAATCTCGCACAAGCACAACTGGACTAATTATGTACTGGTGACCTCTGGTGGACAACAAGAGAAACTATCGATGTATTCAAGATTGTCACGTAAAAAACTACAGCAGATTAATAATGGGATAAACTAATATTTAAGTTGTCATTAAAGTCCATACATTTTTATTCCCGTTTTATTTGTTGCAAGGTCATTGAGGCTGCAGTCCTGAGGTGGTTGCAGAGACACTGTAGATCCAAAAAGAAAAAAAAAAAACTCCTGCCTAATGCTTCCTTATCCTTCTGCTGCTCATCATTGACCTTCTGTTGAGGTCAGCTAAAGAGAATGGAGCAGGAGAGCCGTTGCTACAGTCCCTCTGTCGTGTCTGAGTCTTCCCAAAGGTCTCCTCCCAGTGGGATGTTGCCTGAACCCCTTCCCAAGAGGCATCCAGGAAAGAACTCATGTGACTGAGCTCTTCAGGCTATCTCTGAGGGAGCGACACATGTTATTACAAATGAAATGGCAATTATTCTCTATCTCCTGTACAAACATAACAACATTATATATTCAACAAAAATTATACTGTGTAAAATTCTAAGTGAAAAAATATAGTATCCATCAAGGCCTAGATAAATTACTGATTTTTGGGATGTAAAAAATAATGTATTTTCCCTTTATCATTATTATTTTGTATAAGTGCCTTGACAATTTCAATTCAATTTATTTTTGTACTGCCCTAAATCACAACAGTAGTTATATCAGAGGACTTAACAAAACCATTGAAATCTCAGCCACAGATCAGAGAATCAAATCGTTCAAAATTATAGAAAGAGGAAAAAATGAAAGGAGAAAGTTACAAAGAACCTTAACAACGTCACCATACCAGCAGTAAGAAATGACTCTGTGCTAATAACAAAAGCAGTTTTTATTGAATTGAATAATGTTTGCTAATAATTCTCTCTCTTTAGATCAGACTTCTTAAACGCTCTGTCATATATCCATTTACATTACAACAAGTATCAAACCAAGTAAACAAAATCTGTTATCATATCTGAACAAATGACTTTTCAAGCAGATGGTCTTTACCGTTTCATTTCCTGCGCGCAAACTGCACAAAGTAACCTGAGTCCCATTCACATTTCATGTTAATGTCCACAATGGTTAAAAATCACTGACTTTTATACTTAAAGGAGCCCTCCTTAAAGCCCCCACTGTTTATTGAACCAGATGTATTCAGCCTGAGATGGTCGTGACAGCTGAAGATGTAGCTGCTTTACATTAGAGTAAATAAACAACCAATGATAACTTATTTAAGGATTATTAAACATGAAAATGAATTAAGACAAAAATGTGTTATGAAATGAAATGATAATAAAGTGTTAACATTATTTTATGTCCAAGAAGCATCTGTTAGGTAAAAAGGCATCTTAATGTTTTACTACTCTCTCTTTCAACAGCATTGTTTATTACAAAGCATTCCATTTGATTGGCACAACTTAAAAAGGCAATCAATATATCAAGAGCGTTTATGCATCAGCGCACTCGTAGTAATCAGCTCCACTTCCTGTTTCCAGCTGCATCCATGATTTACCGAGGAGCTCATCCAGGACCATCGATGAAGACGACGCCACAGCCAGATACAAACAGGCTCTGTGAATATAACACTTGTCTCTGGTTTTATCCATTTACATCCTATTTATTCTGGATTCGGAAAGATTGACTTATGTTATAAACACTAAGCTACACCAGATGCAACCCTCAGACAAAATCTTCAACGATTTATTTTATAGTGGCTGCAAATGTTGGATGCTATGACTTACATGGTGTTTACTATGAGACATGCTAAAATGTTGTCACTCACCATCTGACAGGAAATGTTTAGTCCTCTCATTAAACTCGTTCTCTTTTCATAATAAGTTGACTGAAAAGGTCTAATGCTGGGACAGAATGAATGTATGATTCTTATAGCTATATCTTGACGTATCTACAAAGAAGAGATGCACAGAGTTCCTTGGGACATCTTTAGAAAGATATCATACATTGTTTTAAAGAAATCTGATAATTTACCAGTTCCTTTAAGTTTATGGTAAGATGTTCCTAAATCAAAACATAAAAACAGTCCAAAGGACGCAGTATCACTGTGTGTGCTGTTTGTAAAATGCTTTGTCTGTCCAAACGGTGGAGTTTCTTTTAATAATCAAAAAAATCATTCTTTTTGGCCAACTTGGCAACCTCCTGTCGAATAGCCCGGACAAGAGCGGTGGTGGAGAGACTGCTAAGATGCAAGCCGTCCATGTCCTTCACCAGCGGGGGCAGGCTTTGCTGGGACACTGTGCTGGGGACTGAGGAGAGGGGCTCCAGGGCCTGGTGGTACTGCAGCGGGAGCCTCATGGGGCTGGTCTGAGGGTAACGAGGGCGAGGGAAGGCATCCACGTACCCGGGCAGAGGCACCTGGGCCAAAGCAGAATACAACACTAGTTAATGGTGACAGCTACAAACTAACATGGTTCATTTCAGGGGAAATAACAAGCATGTGTTTGGACAAAGGATAACATACACATGTAGATGCATGTAATAGACAGCAAAACCAAAAGTATACAGTTTGTTTACAGCAATAAAACAATGTTAGAGATTCATTGCTCCATCTCAGTTGCAACTTTACCTGAGATTATACATTTTCAGATCATAGAGCAAACAAAAATGTGCTCAATTAAATTATCTTAAGGCAAGGACCTGGCTTGGGGTGTATGTGTATTCTGTATCCCACAAGGTCGATGACAGTTAAGAGAGAAGGTTTATAGTGTTCTCAAGTTAAAGATATTTTTTACTTTGTTGATTATAATAGCAGACAAAATGTCCAAATGTAATACCCCAAGACTTTGCTGTGTCCACTCCCTGCCAGCCATAAATCAGCTCAGCAAATGGTTTCTAAATGACGCTGGTTCTGCAAAAGACAATGCATGAAGAAGGAAACTGGCAAAAACAAAGTGAATAAAAATATCATCCAACAAACAGGCTACAAGACATATGGAAGCACAGAGAACAATGTAAAATCATAAAAACTACAAAATCAAACCATAATTAAAGCCACACCAAGCCGCCCCGTATCAAGCCGCCCCGCACCAAGTCGCCCCGCACCAAGTCGCCATGCATCAAGCTCAAACAACGTTTCACTGATCAAAAATCCCTTTGGTCATTTTGATGGTACATGTGTTGAGATGATGTGGAGCGATTTTGAGGCAAATCGGTGAAACGGCCGAGGAGGAGAAGATTTCCAACCGACATGTTTGAAAATTATTGCGGATCATTTTTCCATTTTGCAGTGAAATTTATGGGCCTCCTGTTGGTCAGAGGGCGGGGCCATGATAACATTTCGGTCGTATCTTGACTTGAGGAACATGTGTACCGAATTTCATGGCTCTACGACAAACTTGACCTCTGAAACTCCCATTGGCTGTTGTAGGTGGCGCTGTTCTGGCATTTTTTGAGTCCCATAAAAATAAACACCAAAACATCAAATTTTTCACCAGGTCTGATGTTTGGGCAAAATTTTACAACTTTTCATGCATGTTCAGGGGGTCAAATTAAGGCTCAAAGTGCAGAATTTGACATCTCTCGAGCAAAAACAATAGGCCCTTTCCCCGTTCGGGGCTCGGGCCTAATTATGATGCATGCACACCCTTGTTCATATGAACTAGTCAAGACTGGTTTTGCTCTAACAGATTCATGTCTTACCGAGTCTGACCACTGTGGCAGCACATCCTCAGGCTCTGGGGGGTAGGACATCCAGGACGGACTGTGGTACGAGGTGGGCGGCGAGGACACAAAGTACTCAGAGTATTCGGGTCTGCTGGCTGGGAGGGCGTAGACTGCGGTTATTGGGTTTCCTGGAAAATAGAAAAAATATCAAGGCACTGGAGTCCTGAAATGGTAATACTCAGCTGGAGACAATAACATCAACAAAGCCTATAGTGAAAATGTATTTATATTATCATTTTATTATCATACAATTTCTTAAAATACAATTTCCTTTTGCCAATTTTACTCTCGGCAACAGAGAAAGTTTGATCTTACTGAGATGCACAGGTGCTTACCTGAGTGGTTGGACACAGGCTCCTCTGCAGTGATCGGTGGAAGTGCTTTCTGGCTAATGCCGTATGGGTTGTTTTCACAAGGACTCTTTATATCGTTGAGGATTTTCTCTGAACTCCTTGACTTAGGGCCCAAGTCTGACGTGGAACTAAGCAGAAATTGAAACCAAATACATTTTGCAATGATACATTGGTACCAACAGAGGGCAGCCACACTAAAAGTTAGAAAGCAGATACTCATTGATATTCTGAACTCTCCCGTTACTTCAACATTAAATGCAGTTACATTTACATAACATTTTGTTATAGCCTTAGAATATATGTAAATTCTGCAGGTGCCCAGATCTGATCTGATTCGGAGTCTATATATATTCATGCTTTTTAAGATTTACCGTTTTAAAGGGTTCCCAGGAGGAGGTCCAGTCCGAGGGGGTAGTGGAGGTGGAGAGCCCGAGGCCATTTCAGGAAGTTGTGTGAAGCGAAATGCCTTAAACAGACCAGACTTAAGATTAGAGTTATGCAGCTAGCACCAGTGCAGACAAAGGGATATTGCTCATACTGGTTTGGGCGGGCTGCACGGATACACATCTGTCCCATAGGAAGGCACCCACTGCAGGCCGCTCCGCCCACAGTTCATGGTCCCAGGAGCGCTGGTCACCACTTCTGTGTATGGCAGAGGTGTAACTGGGCTGTAGAGGCTGGGAGGGGCCTGCTGGGGGTGTGAGCGGCGCCCGGATGTGGACTGTCCTCCTGAAGCCAGCGTGAAGGCCTCCTCCAGCAGCAGGTGCATTTGCTGTCGCACTTCATCGATAGACGGCTGTGAGCTGAGCGTGGACGTCTCAGAGTGGCCTTTCAAACCTCGCCCGCACATGTACGATCTTTGACCCATCAGGCGGTCCACGTTGGTCTCCTCTATCAACTCCGGCTCCGTCTGAAAAATTCCAGGCCACTGAATATGGTTATGGCATGACTTTCCAAGCAAACCCTTTCAAGCCAAGCACACTTTATATTTTTGTTTAATAAAATAGAATAAAATACAATGCTGGAGCTAGAATTGCACTTGGTTTGGAGGTTTTTACAGATGTGTATATTGTACGTCAGCAGCAGAGAAAATGAGCAGAATAAACAATAGTAATAATAATAGCAGCAGGTAAAGTGACTAGTGAATGACAGAATTATCAGATTAATGGATATGTAATAATGTAGTAATAATAACAACAGGTAAAGTGACTAGTGAATTATAATCAGAACAGGTAAGTGGCACTCAGCAGTTCTCGTTGTACAGTCTGACATCCTTTCATATCTCACTCTCCAGACATCCACTGAAAGATGAACCGAGAAGATGCTGCCCTACTTCCTGTGCTAAGAGGTTAGTCACAGGAGACCCAGAGCAGTGCACCCCATAAATCACCCCCCTCTTGCACCAAAGAGCCCGAGACGCCAGGGCCTGCAGCGACACTACCTCCATTGTGGCTACGACAGCCAGGAGTTGAGAAAGAGGCTGTTGGACCTCATAAGGACCACAGCAGAGCAGGAGGCTGGCTGCTGCGTCACTGCATCGCACCCATTTAGGATATTACACCTGCTGCGATTTGTCTCGTACCAAATCCACAGGAGGAAACGGTGCATAGTGACTCACAAGTAAATACATAAACAATTCAGCAGTCTTTTTCCAGTCTTTCATCATTCCAAACATTCTCCTCTTTATCAAAATACCTATACTGCCCGGATTTGAAAACATTAAACGTAAGTAAGTTTACACCTTACTAGGAGTCATTATGGCAAAGTAATTACATTTCCATGAGAGTAAGTAATGTTTATTTATATAGAGCATTTCACAAACTAAGGTCACCCAAAGCGCTATTGTTCCAATCATTCCACACACCGATGACAGAAGCGAGTCGCCGAACACACTGGTGCATCAGCCCCCAATCAACACCATCCATTCACTTATTCATTTACATTTATACCTATTGTGAGAGCAGATGATTGGCCCTCCACCAGAAAAGTACCCACTACACATGTTATGCATCATTGATGTATTTTCAACAGTGACAGTCGGCAGGTTACTACTGCCCTGAAAACTGTTATAGCTACCAATCTGCACAAGCAGCACTCCTGCAAACCACCATTGTCATTAGTGGACACAATATGTAAGAAACACAAGTAAAACGTACAGCTTTTAAAATACCAAGGTTTCGTGGCCTATTAAACAGCGCACATCCAAGTGGGACTTCATGAGGGAAAATTTACTATAATGAAGCCATAAAAGAAAGAAGCCACAAAGCAGCCACCTTTTAAATGCATTATAAATCACAATGACAGGGCCTCATAAATTATTATGTTAATCATGATAGAACTCTTAGCTTGTGCTTCTTGACACGCTTGGCCACGCCCGGCCAAGATCTATCTGCTGGGCCTTCTCTCCATCCATCTCCACGTCTGACAAAGCTTTAAGTCTATATTAACACTTACATCCATTTAAAATCATTCTTTAGTAAAGCAGATTCATAACCTACATCATAGCCACTGTTTCGAATTCCTCTCCTCGGTCTCTCTCTCATCACAAGAAGGTCCATCTCTGTTCCTCCAGGGCTGGGGCTGCTGAGGCTCTGTCTGCTGCGATAGGCGGGCTGCCCCACCTGAGAATGCCTGAAGAGGAGAGCAGAGGGCTGATCCAAAGTGTGTGGGGCAAAAATATACAGTACATGTGCAAAAGGAGAAAAGTCTTCTGAAATGAACTATAGCTCTGCTACACTGACTTATAAAATCAGTGTAGACCGTCGTGAGACAGGTTCGCTTTACTCTACTGATGATGTAATCCTGCTATACCAGTTTATATTTAACAAATGTAATACTAAGTCAGTTATAGAAGCAGTATGTAAAAATCTTGCCAAATGTGGTACTGCAACCTCTCCCACTCTCCCTGACTCAGGTTGCCGGATATGCAGAAGAATCCAGCTGGGACCATAATATCTAATAAGAGTTAAGAGTTTTGTCAACAATAAATCTAAAATCAACACCTTTTTCACAAAGGCCCCGACAGAAATCCTTGTTTTTTTCCATTGTTTTGTCTTTAATGATTTGAGAATCATAGCGAGACCTTTTAGTTCTGCGGCCACATGTTACTTTACCAGTGAGATTAGCTTGCCGTGAGTTCTGGCAACCCGGATGGGAGGGCGGGACATCAAAATGAAAACAATAACAAGATTTAGGGGCTGTAAAACTAATTTTGAAATTCAATTATCTCGGCTGAACTACTATCATCAGTTAAATAAGTTTTCAAAAAGAGCCTGGTTTATTTATGTCTTTTGATGGATTAGGGCCATTTAATCATGACTTGACATGAAAATCTTACAAATTGCTAATTTAAGTAAGTAAACTGGTATAATTAGTTAAATCGGTAAAGTATAAACTGGATACACATTTATCAAACAGACAGACTTTGGTTGAATCTATCAGATAAAGTTGTTTATAATTGGCCACAAACAGCGACTATGCTCTGACAGGATAATGACAGCCTCAGAGCAGACAGTATATTACACATGCTTTCATCTGCCATTTCCTTTTGAACGTACCTTTTATTGGACTTGACATAGGTCGACCCGTGCTCGTCTGTGGCCTCGTGCAGCCTGCCGCGATCAGTCCTTACCCGGTCCTGACTGAGCTGCTGGGTGAGTGACACTGGGCCGTCATTCAGACTGTCCTCCATAGACGGGAAGTCGTAGTATGATTTCTTCTTAGCTTTGACCCTCAGCTTGTTTTTGTAGTTTTCAATATCCGATCTTTGTTTAAGCGCCATGTTGATCTGTAAAAGCAAACGATGAATGACAGCAGGCACAGAACGTTGGATGAAAAAAAGCAAAAAAAAGCATTTGGATTGTATGCTTCCACTATTTACTGTGTAGGACAAGGAATGTACTAGGTCAAGTACCAACTGCAGAATAGCTCGATAGCAGAATTACTATTGATTGCAGGACACGTTTAATTTTATTTTCCTTTGTGAATTGTGTAAGATGAGAGAAAATAGACCTTTTTAAATATGAAGAAATGTACATGTTGCATTTTGCATCAATAGAATCACTCAGGGTGTGCAAAAGACAGGAAATGTGCAAACATGTTAACAAGTGAAAAAGATATAGGTTATTTTATACGCAGTAAAGTTTGTTATTGATTTTAGCATTGCTCTCTTATGGTACTTCTATAAGTTTCAGGCTTCAATGTTGTCTGTGTCCCATAAATCTCTGAAAAATGGTGGCACCTAAAGGGCTAAATGTCCATTGCATTGTTGATCTGCAAAATTATGTTTTAGTCCAGTCCTCAGGTCTCTGCACTGGCTTCCTGTGGCTCAGAGAACAGACTTAAAAACAGCTCTGCTTATGGCCTCGCACCAAAGTACATCAGAGACATGTTAGTGCCATTAATGAACCAACTCTGAGGAGCGCAGGGACTGGACTCCTGCTGGTTCCAAGACTCAGACCTAAACATGAGGAGGCAGCACTTCAGATTTATACTGCTAAAATCTGGAAAAGCCTTTCTGAAAATGTGAGACAGGCTTTGAACAAAAGACTGACAATGTTCAAATCCAGGTTGAAAACAGTTCTGTTTAGCTGTGCGTACAACTGAAGGATTGTATCTTCACACTTTTTAATGAACTGTGATTATTTGTGATTTTCATGCCTTGTATTGTTACCATATTGTTTTCTAGTTCCTGAACAGTGCTAAACAAATACACTTGCCTCGTCTTTTATACATTTTTGGGAGTGTCGGTGATGCGTTTGGTGAAAATTAAAATCTTTTCAAATTCTCTAGCAATAACCTCAAGCCACCAAGCTTCCAGTATCGCATCCCCTCATGCGAGTCCCACCCCCCACTTTGAGAAGCGCTGTAGCTAGTGAATTCTAGTGCTCCTAGTATCACAGTGATTAATTGCTCTCACTCTGTATTCCCGCTCTGGGCTAAACTCCATTATCCCTCAGTAATAAAACCATTTACAAAATACTTTTTGCTCAAAACGGTAACAAGTGTAGTATGTGACATCACCTCTCCATTGATCATAGCGCTGCGGTCACACAGAGCTGGGTGAGAGTAGTGAGTCTGTGTGATCATGGGCTTTATGGAGATGAGATGCAGAGAGCCGGAGGAGGAGTCGTACGGATCTGTAAAATAAGCTTTAGTTACTCCAGAGATAATTACATCACACTATATAGGTCTAGGGCTGTAATCCTAAAAGACTCGTTGACCAAACACAAATACTGTAACTGGCCCAAAGTGTCATCACAAAGCTAGGCATATAAATCGCCAAAATATTAAGCAATAAATGACAATGTATTGATGAAATATTTTGTCTGCAGCTTCAATTGTATTTGTATTTATTGTACTTTTTAAAAATAATGCATATTTTTGATGACCATGTAGTATCAAGTCAGTATTTCAAAACATGACTTATTATACAGTCCCTCTCCTTGGCATAACCACCAATATTCTGGAGAATAGTTAGGCCAAAGGCAAGGGACCTCAAGGATTTCAATTCATTCCGTCCAATCAGAAAGCACTGGGGATGATGGGCGGGTCCAACTGGTGCTTGCTTCAGAAATAAGCTTTCACTCTTCACAATTAAAAAAGTAATTAACAATTACTTTAAATCTGAAAAACACAACTCAAAAAACGAAACGAATAAAAAAATAAAATTACATACAGTGCCTTGCGAAAGTATCCGGCTCCCTTGAACCTTTCAACATTTCTCCATATTTCAGGCTTCAAACATAATTTTTTTTTTGTCATGAATCAACAACAAGTGGGACACAATCGTGAAGTGGAATGAAATTTATTAGATAATTTAAACTTTTATAACAAATAAAAAACTGAAAAGTGGGGCGTGCAATATTATTCGGCCCCTTCACTTTCAGTGCAGCAAACTCACTCCAGAAGTTCAGTGAGGATCTTTGAATGATCCAATGTTGTCCTAAATGACTGATGATGATAAATAGAATGCACCTGTGTGTAATCAAGTCTCCGTATAAATGCACCTGCTCTTTGATAGTCTCAGGGTTCTGTTTAAAGCACAGAGAGAACCATGAAGACAAAGGAACACACCAGGCAGGTCCGAGATACTGTTGTGGAGAAGTTTAAAGCCGGATTTGGATACAAAAAGATATCCCAAGCTTTAAACATCTCAAGGAGCACTTTGCAAGCAATTATATTGAAATGGAAGGAGTTTCAGACCACTGCAAATCTACCAAGACCCGGCCGTCCCTCCAAACTTTCATCTCAAACAAGGAGAAGACTGATCAGAGATGCAGCCAAGAGGCCCATGATCACTCTGGATGAACTGCAGATAACTACAGCTGAGGTGGGGATGGTGTGTTCAGGGTGATGAGCTGTGTTGCTTTTACGCCAAACATATCGTTTTGCATTGTGGCCAAAAAGTTTGATTTTGGTTTCATCTGACCAGAGCACCTTCTTCCACATGTTTGGTGTGTCTCCCAGGTGGTAGTAAGTAGTAGTAAGTAATCTTTATTTATATACCGCCTTTTCACTGCAGATCTGAGTCTCAAAGCGGTTTACAATTGTTAATTTTGGGCATTTGTCTCTCACTCCACACAGAGATGGGTGCGGGGTCGCCAGTACAGGAGGCGCATGCTAGAACTATTGGACATATTTTTAGTGGTAGGGGAAACCGGAGTACCCGGAGGAAACCTACGCAGACACGGGGAGAACATGCAAACTCCACTCAGAAAGGCCCTGGTCCGACCGGGATTCGAACCCAGGACCTTCTTGCTGAGAGGCGAGAGTGCTATCCACTCTGCCACCGTGATTCGAACCCAGGACCTTCTTGCTGAGAGGCGAGAGTGCTATCCACTCTGCCACCGTGCCGCCACCACCACAAGGTGGCTTGTGGCAAACTTTAAACGAGACTTTTATTGGATATCTTTGAGAAATGGCCACTCTTCCATAAAGGCCAGATTTGTGCAGTGCACGACTGATTGTTGTCCTATGGACAGACTCTCCCACCTCAGCTGTAGTTATCTGCAGTTCATCCAGAGTGATCATGGGCCTCATGGCTGCATCTCTGATCAGTCTTCTCCTTGTTTGAGATGAAAGTTTGGAGGGACGGCCGGGTCTTGGTAGATTTGCAGTGGTCTGATACTCCTTCCATTTCAATATAACTGCTTGCACAGTGCTCCTTGAGATGTTTAAAGCTTGGGAAATCTTTTTGTATCCAAATCCGGCTTTAAACTTCTCCACAACAGTATCTCGGACCTGCCTGGTGTGTTACTTTGTCTTCATGGTTCTCTCTGCGCTTTAAACAGAACCCTGAGACTATCAAAGAGCAGGTGCATTTATACGGAGACTTGATTACACACAGGTGCATTCTATTTATCATCATCAGTCATTTAGGACAACATTGGATCATTCAAAGATCCTCACTGAACTTCTGGACTGAGTTTGCTGCACTGAAAGTAAAGGGGCCGAATAATATTGCACGCCCCACTTTTCAGTTTTTTATTTGTTAAAAAAGTTTAAATTATCCAATAAATTTCGTTCCACTTCATGATTGTGTCCCACTTGTTGTTGATTCATGACAAAAAATTAAAATTTTATATCTTTATGTTTGAAGACTGAAATGTTGAAAGTTGAAAGGTTCAAGGGGGCCGAATACTTTCGCAAGGCACTGTATAACTAGCTCCATCTCACTCTCAACATAGTGTGGCTCTATCCCTGGTTTTCACAAGGATGTGTTTTTGGCCTCATTTCTGTAGATCAGCTTTTTCAGACAGACGGATATTACACTTAGTGAAAAAACAGTGAGATTATTAGGATAAGATAAAGACAGTGTGCGGTCTTATTCATCAATGCGTTCATCAACATGTGTTAGATTTAGATTTAGTCTATCTGTATTCCCGTGGCAGGTTGATGTCACAGCCTTCACAATATATGTTTTTAATGTGGTTTTACTGAAAATGGAAAATGAAATGAATCTAAATCTAAGAGAGCAACATTCAGACTTAAAAGTACATAAAAGTACAAAGTTCATAAAAGCTACATGTTAATTAAACATGATTCTTTCTGTTGGAACAAACAAATTGAACCTATGAAACAAAAAAATCAATAGGTAAAAATTAGAAAAAATAAAGGAAAAACCAACATTTGTATTTATGTTGGTGTTTATTTGGATGGTGCGTATTAATAAACAGCAGGAGCTGTAAATACACCAGATTGTAGGTCTGGGAGTGGAATCGAACTGTGGTGCACTCTGGTAGTTTAAAAAAAAAAGCATTACATTATACAAATAACTAAAAAAGCACAGACCACTGCCAGGAGGCACGCTCCAAAAAAAATCCTGGATCCAGACGATAAAATTGCTTACAAAGAGACAGACTGACAGACATGCATCATTAGTGATTACAGTACATTACGATCTATTTTTATTCAATTTCACCTGTTTAGATAAGAATCCCTTCCAAACGCCGTAATGTGAGGTGTTCACGTGCCCCAGATTGGGAAACACAGAGTCAAGCCAATGTACATGAACAAATAGGGACAGGACTTGAGCGCTGCTAAACACATGCGTTGAGTGATTGTGTTTATTCTATGATTGTTTTGTGGGTGAAGCATGCTGGGGTCTCAGTGTCAGCGGCTGTTTTGCTCATGGATATTCATCAGGACTGTCTGCTTACTGCTGAGTGGCTACCTTTCCGGCTATAAAAACTGCTGCAGTGGCATTGCATATACTGTATCTCATTGCCTACCTGGGTGAAAGAAAAGGAGAAGCTCTTTTCATCCCAGGAGGACAGGGGCATTTTGGAATTCATGACACACTTGGCCTCGCGAAGACAGCGCAAAACAAATAAATCAATTCTAATTTTGCGTGACTCTCACCGTCTCTGTTGTGGGACTGCTCTTTTGTCGGTTTCTGCTGCGCTGTGACTTTCAGGCCCCTGCCGGATTTCAGCATCTCTGATTCGCTGCTGATGACGGAACCATCCTCGCTCGGCAACCGGCTGCAAGTAACCATAGCAACAAGAGAGGCGGTGAGCGCGGAGAAGCGGGCGAGCAGCCAGGTTATGTCATCCCGCCTCTAACACCATTACCTCTGCAGTCTACCGTTATATTATAAACGTGTGATCCTATTATTGGAAAATTTTCACATAATTAATGTGGTCTCGGTTATTAAGACAGTATTTCAATTCGAATACAATCACTCCAAACCCGGTGATGACAGAAGTGAGACACCAGACACCCGGCGCCTTCCACCATCACTGACCATCACTGACCATCACTGACCATCACAGACCATCACAGACTATCACAGACCACCCCATTTGTATTTAGTTTAGATAGGAAAGTGATGCAGACACAGGGAGAACATGCAAACTCCACACAGAAAAACTGTACGGCCGTATCAAACTAATCCCAGTAATCAAAGCTTGTAACGTGTTCCACTACTACTACTAAGCCTTTGAAGCAAAAGTCCTTTGACATCCAAAATACAATTCTAAAAGTCTATAATGCATGTGTAAGTCGCTGTTTTATTTCATTGTCCCTTATGTCGGACTCAAATGGCCGACTGGAGTCAGGATTAAAAACGATCAAGCTATAGCCCAGAGAAACGGAGACATCAAAGCTCTGTGAACTATTCTCTAATTGTCTGTTAAGAATGATAACAGAATGAGAGAACGCTGGCCACGCTGCTCATTTCAGGCTCTCAGCAAGTCTCCCACTGGATTTTACAACCAATAACATGGGGCATGTTTATCAATGGTATATGTGTGCGAGTGAGAAGCACCACTGATTTATGAATATAACCCTAAAATGTCAAAATAATTAGGTTCAAGAGCAAAAAGGCAGAAGTCTACTGCAAAAACATGGCCTCTACACTGGTCTTATGAGATTAAAAGCAGGATTTTTGTATAGATTGTTCTAGTCAAACGGTGGTGAACTCGGCTGCAGACTTTTGAGTTTTCGATACGCCAAAATGGGGTACAATTTACAAGATTTAAAAGTCAAGGAAAATTCTGATCATATCGTTTTGTCTTTTCAGGCTTTAACGTGACATGCTATCTGAAGTCATTTCAGAAAGACTCCAACAGTGTGACAGGTTTCAGCCGCCTGTGATAGAAAATTGCTTCTTAAGACGGACACATTTATCTCAACAGTTTTTATCCACTTCTGGAATAGATTTACACTGTTCAAGAATAACTCCAGGACAAGGTTACATTAGTGTTTATTATCTATCACAATAAACTCCTTCAAAGTATGCCAAGGTCACTTTAGAAGTTGCATTTATGCATACCAACAGTAAGGATACATTATGTAATCATTGAGCACTTGCATTCTCCTGTGTTGCTGTTGGGTCTTTTGCACGAGAAATGATTATGTAGATCAGAGAAATTCCTTTGAACTGCACCTCCTGCATGAAGTCCATAGTTTTCTAGAGCCGATAACTTTCCCCCACTCAATCAATGGAACTATAGATGCTACTCATCCATCCACCGCCTTTGACCACCGCCCAGGGTTCTCCACACTGGACCAAATGGAATCACCTGGAGGTGGTGAGTCCACAGAAAGGAGGGGTGGCAGCAGGTTGGACTCCAGGGTGAGACTACAGGGTGGGACTGCATTGTGGGACAACAGGGACATATTAGGACTGCACTTAGTTTGGACAGAATTCATCATATTTTTGTATTATCGTAGTTTTGGAGATATGAATAAATGCCTTTAGTAGTCCTGCATACTGTATATGTGCACTTTATTGTCCCCATAGGAAAATTCATCCTCTGCATTTGACCCATCCTGATGCCACTAAAAGGCCCCGACTCCACCGGGCGCGTAAAACGGACGACGGATCCGTCCAAACATGTCCGTTTCATCTCCGTCTCCGTTATCTCCATGAGAGTGAATGGAAGTGGCTCCACTGCCTCCGCATGCGTCCGTCCAACGCACGTCGGACCTATTCCGTCAACGGAGGGTGCAAAAGACGTGGACGGACGAAATAGAAACAATCCTATTTGTTCCGTCCGTCGACGCGTGTCGGGTCCGTTTTCCATTGAAAATGCAATGGAATAATATATTTACAACATTGTTAAACATGTATTGATATGCTGTAGTCCTTGGTTATAAGTATTTGTTAATGACAATGATTATTAACAAACGTGTGTAATGTTTTTCATGTATTAATTTAAATAATTGTTTCCTGATCGTAAATCTACCATTTATTTTTCGCGTAATGTTAATACGCTAATCTTTACATACACCTCGCTCTTTTTTCTCTCGCTCTGTCCCGTCTACCTCCGAGGCGCTCTCTCCTCACCGCCGCGCGCTCCCAGACAGACAGACAGACAGACAGACACACACACACACACACACACACACACACAGAGCTGCACTTATGAGAGACAGATCTCACAACACTGGATATGTTGGAGTTCTTTTCTCTCTCCCCTTTTTCCAATTGCTTTCAATAAGTTTTGCCTCATCCATCGCGACGTCCTCGATGCTTCAATATGCTGTGCTTTGCATTGATCATAGCCACAGCTCATTCAAATCACACACCGCTTCTTCTATTTAAAACTATAGCTCTGCCTGTTGCCTAAAGCCGCGGAGAGGCGAGTTGGCTCCGATAAAAGTGTATCATGCGCTAAATAAGTAGAAAACAAACGAAGAAGCTGGATCATAATAAACGCTGCAGTCACAGACCCAAACACACATGCACGCACACGCCTCCCACCACACACACACACACACACACACGGGCGCTCTCACGCACACGCTCACGCACACATGCACGCCGACAATACATAACTCCTCCATCAGCCAAACATTCATTCATTCACACAATGCCCAAACATGTCTCCTACAAAAATGAAGCAGGCTGATAAACGCACAGCCAGAGTTGCTGCTGCTGCAGCCGGTTTGACCACTGGTCCGTTTTACGGACGGCTGACGGACAGCAGCCGACGCGCGTCAACGGAGACGCGCCCGGTGGAGTCCAGGCCTAGGCTTACGTCAGGAGCAGTGGTCGCCGTAGTGACAGCGCCCGGGAACCCATCTCCAGATGTTGGTGCTCGCGTTGGTCAGGACTACCAGAGCTGGAGGATTTAACCTATTGAGCATGTTTTTAGTATTGTTATAGTATATAATAATAATAATAATGTATCCGTTTTATAAAACGCCTTCTAGGAAACTTCACATGTCATTATTAATTTACTCCATACATGATGTGAATATCATATCATGTGGCTACTACAGCTACAACTGCCCTGGGGCACACTGACAGAAGCGAGGCAACCAGTATGTGCCATTGATCCCCTCCGACCACCACCAGACTCATTCTAGTCAATATGGGTAAAGTGTTTTGCCGAAGGACGTAACGTCAATTTGGCACTTTACAGCTGCAGCCGCCCCACTGTGGCACCTGGTGTTCTCAGAGGTCTCCCATCACAGTACTAACCAGGCCCTTCCCTGCACAGGTTCAGCAGTCCGACAGGATCTGGCTTTTGCATGCAAGTATGGCCATATATCTCACTCTCACAAGTGCATTAGCCACATCTACTCAGAAACGTCACACTCTGACGCTCTGAAGCTCTACTCAGAGGCAGCGTATAATTAAATATCCAACTATCTAGATACCAGATACAGAATTCATTAAAAATGTCTATAACCACAACCTTTTGATGAAGGCAGAAGTCTCCTGCAAAACCATGGTCAGGGAATTATCCAGTACCACCTTCTTTACACTGTCTATAAGAGCCTTCTAAGCCGTAGATCTTTGCATTATAAAAAGTTGATCAAACACATTCCTCTCATTTGTACCTTTTGTGTTTGTCGGAGGAGAGGTTCTTCTTGCTCACGCTGCCGTCGTGCTGTAGAGTCTTTTCCAGTGACAGGGCTGTGTCCTTAATTTGTAGTGACATGACTAAAGTATCCTGACTGACGGGCAGAGCCTCCTCCTCACCTCCCAGCTGGCCGAGGTGCTGCTTGGCATAGTCAAAACCCTGGACCGGCTCATGATCACAGCGAGAATGTGAATGAAGACAGAGCAGAGACAGAGCTAAGTAAGATTGATGCATTTTATAGTCATAAGACCGGTTATATTCAACAGGATTAGACCAAAACTGACATTTATAGACCTTAAAAAGTAAATGGAGCATGATTAATACTTTATATTTTTAACAAGGATTACAGCTCAATGGTAAAAATAGATTAGGTCTGAGTTCAGCAAAGCCGTTTAATCAAAATTCCATTTTCCATATGGCATGCCTGGCAGGCGAGAGAAACTATTTACATATTTGGAGCTAACTGAAAAAGACAACAACAAAATACCATGTTAAAAGATTGTTCAAATAGAATTTAAGTTACCGTCCTGGTCAATGAGGTCACTAGGTTTAGAGCTTTAGTCACACACGAGCCAAAGCACGAGAGACATTTATGAAATAAATAACACAATGCGACTTCAGATTGGTACAACGTAGTTTCTGACAGTTTATGTAACAGTGATGAGAAAGTGAAACATGCAGATTTAAGATACATGAACGTTCCTATTGATCTTTTATCTATAATATATGTGGTGAATCAATACAATGTAATAATTCACCTGTACGATCGTGAGTATGTTTGATTGTTTAAACAGTTATTCTTGAAACGTAAACGGAAGATGACACATACCTGGTGGTAGAATCCCGGATCTCTGCGATAAGACGTCTAGGGGAAAATAGCAGTGTTGAAACGTTGTCAGGAGTTCTTTGATATTTTATGTGCATGCAGATAGCATCACACTTTACAGATAAAAAAAAGTCTAACACTGAAGAAAACACAAGTCTGTAATCGCTCCCAAAGATGTCTACACAAAGTGCACATCAAAGCAACAGTAGTTTGTCTGGGGCCGAAAATCATCTAAAACAAGTACATCCGAACATTTCATTCTGCTTTATCCATTGTTCAGGCATCCGGATATGCCTGAGCCTTCTCAGCTGGCTCCTCTTGACGTGGAGAAGCAGCGTCTCTAATCCGAGCTCGTCCCAAGTGACTAAGCTCCTCACCCTATCTCTAAGGGAGCGCCCGGCCACTCATTTTGACCGCTTGTTTCTGCAATCTTATCCTTTTGGTCATTACCAAAACCACAAACCAAAAACAATAGAGTCTATGGTTCTATGAAACAGCATGGAACAGTTTAATTCAATTCAATTAAAACAGTAGTTATCTCGGAGGACTAAACACAACCAACACAGATCAGAGAATCAAAACAATTCAAACACAATAAAGGCAAGGAAAAAAACACACATAGAGCCATTGGTCCTTTAGGGGCAGATGACCAATGTCCATTAATGATTAAAAATATGAATCATGAGTCGGGCTTGTGCAGATGCAAGCTCACTGTTAAGAAACCTGTTTTTATACTTTTTCAGTGCTATAAAGACATTCATCATTAACACTAGGTACACACTAAGGCCTTCAACAATGGCATACATCACAATTCTAAAGTGCAAGAACTCTAGACCGACCTTTGCTCGTGGGTTTATGTTTCCAATGGCGTCCGTTTTAAAGTCGTTCTTCTTCCTCCTGCAGAGCACTGTGGTGACGATGATGATTATAATGGTGACGGCAGCGATCGGGCCCAGCACCGCCGCAATGATCCACAGATTACTGGACGGATTCTTGACCACAGCTGAACAAACAGGAAACACATTTAAAACCTTCAAACATCAAAACAAATATTCCTTGTAAGTTGTACCTTCTGCTTGCAGCTGCACAAAGTAGCCCAGCCTGAGGGCCATGGTCTGAGAGTCCACCGTGTTCAGGACTTTGGCTGCAGACGTTCCCGACAGCGGAGTCCCACTGTGCTGAACGTAATAAGTCAATTCTGCAGGATTTTTTTGGCCTGTGACTCTACGAATGCCCACCATCTGTTGGAAAAGACGTTTTTATTAAATAGAACATCTAACCATTTTGAAACAAATATCCACATCGTCATTTATACTATGTACTGAATATATACTGAACTAGGCTAGGCTTTAATACTTGTTTACACTAGAGCTGGCTTGGGTTTAAGCAATAGGGAAGGAAAGAACAGACTCTCTCACAGTGAGACGCAAACGACAAAGATTGAATGTTTGCATAAAATTATCCAAAACAGGTCAATCATCTTTGAAATGTAGCTATTGGTCCAAAATATGTGACAATGTTTTTTTTCAGCATTTCTTTAAAAATGTGCTTCTTTCCCAAAGAGTTGCCCCTGCCCTCGAACTTGCCCTCCAACGGAAAGAGAGTTGGAGAATATGAATGCAGCGTGTTGGGCTGGCCTCAGTCTCACCTGAACAGTGAAGAAGCCCACTGTCGTGGCTCTCTTGAAGCGTGTGCCCTGCTGCTCTGCCAACACAAACAGCTCGGCCAAGCGCTGCTCCATCAGACTGGCAAAGCTCTGGTACTGTCCCTGCAGGCTGCTGTTGTCCACATCCTGGATCACTGCGACCAGAGCGATACAGAGCTGAGCATATGTCGACTTTGGACTGACGGTTCTGTCCATAACAATTCAATTAGTGGCAACTAGCAAAGTACAAAGTGTTGGTCCAGTAGGTTAACAATACGCGACTAATCAGAATATTTTATTCATTGTGAGTTTTTTTTATTGTTCCCACCAAGTTACAGTATTTGAGTTTTAACTCATAGAAGGCGGCAGTGTTTTTGGAATAGCGAGCCGTGGCATGTTAGTGTGCCTTGATGGATAGTGTGTTTCAACAGAAAATACTGTGAGAAGATTAGAAAGACTTTTGGGCTTGTTTTATTTTCTGAAAAAAAAACAACAAAAAAAACAGTTTAATTAGAATGACTTAAAATGCCAATAAAGGCTGCAGAGTGTCATGTTTGTATCAGTTTCAGCTGGTGCTGCACCATGTGATTGTTGTCAATGAAAAAGATGTGCCATGGCTCAAAAAGGTTGAGCAACGCAACAGAACATTTACTTATTTATCCATTCATTCATTTCTTGTGAACATTGCGTAAATGTTCTGTTCAGTTCTTTGAGATGACTGTGGTTGTGATTTTGAGCTGTAAAAAAATGTATTGATTTGATTTGATGGTCTGGATCTTTTTTTATGATTTGATACTTTGTATTATTTTGTATCAGTTGTCCTGTGTTCTTTTGAGTTTCATTTCCTGTGACTGCCTGCACCTCCAGAATGTTTTGCACCTGTGTCTCAGTTTGTGTATTTAAACCCTGAGCCTCCTCTCTTGTTTTCAGTCTTTCCCCGCATCTTGTACCAACCATTATCCTGGGCTTGGGTTTTTTCATTAACTTTTATTTGCAGTCCTGCTTATTGGTTCCGTCTTTTGGTTTTCACCTTGTAACATTTGATTTATTGTGACGTTCAGTTCCTATTAACACTGATCCCTGCAAAAGTGAATATAGCAGCGCGATAGCCTGTTGGTGAATGACTTCTATTCTAGACGTTCAGAAGAAATATGCATCCAAATATGAAATGTGATATCTTAAACAGTGTGGTTATTCAGTGACAGACTCATTCATCCTCGTTGTGTTTCCCCAGGTCTTTCCTTCCTGCTTCTGTCAGATTGTACAATGAGAACTGCTGAGCCTGTACATAATATCATTAATCTGAAAATAAGTAAATACTGCAATCATGTGCAATACTGCAACTTCAGAATGTCACTTTATCTACTCATCCTGCCCTATATGTACTGAATATAACTTTGTACTATAAATATATACATATAGATAGAGCTATATCAATATATAGTTATTGAAGAATTTACAGCTAGCTAAAGGAGCACACATAACATATACAATATAAGTAGCTGCTGTGTGCTCTTACTACTGTCCGACATGTGCACTGCAACATTGAAATTTCCCCCTTTTGGAACGAATAAAGGATCTCTTATTCATAATTCTGGGTGTTTCTCTCCACATTTGGTCATCCGTGTGCTGCTTGTTGCGTTTTCAGAGTTGAGGTGTAGAGCAATAATCCTGTCGGTCATACATCTTGTTCAATGTGAGTAAATTCATTGTCTGGTTTCTGACCTTGAAGTGGCTCTGCCCGTCATCGCATAAGTGCAGGGTTAAGGGCAAAGCTAGTCAGATGCAAAAGGCACATTTGTTATCCGGCCGTGTCAGCGCCCTCGCGATAGTGCCATACTTTACGTTTGTTATTGTATTGTGACTTATTTTCGCCCCAAACGGTCAAAGAATGGACTTACCTGTGATAACCCAGTAGACTCTGGTGGGAGCAGAGGTGTTCAGATTGTGATACTCCAGTGCTAAAATGAAATGAGACAGAAACGACAGAAACAGGATTTGTTCAACATTTTGGTTTAAACAGCTCAAGCTAAAATGATATTGTCGGTATGGTTTCCTCTGCAGCAGTGAGATAAAATGCAAACGAAATCTCTGGAGCTTTGTTAATATAAGAGAGAGTACAAGCTGTCCACTCAAATACTAAATGCTTTCCACTAGGTTTTTATAGGAGGATTTTTTTCTGTTCCTTTCTGAAAGTATGGTGCAAATTTAACCAAGGGAATTGCCAATTGAGGTAACAGCAATTTCTCCAAGGCTTCACGTTTCTGAAGAGAGTGCGAGGTGTTGCACTTTTCATTAGTAGGAGATTTTTTCAGGACTCTGGACGATAAAATGTTTCCTCGTCGACGAACAAATGAAGAGGCTGCAGCCAAAAGCTGTTGCCAAGAAGGAAATCAGAAATCAATAATGTGTAAAGGGAGACAAAATAAATATCAATTCTCTGACAAAAAATGTAATATCAAAGAACATTTTGAAACAAGCCAAACTAAACTAGATTGACCCATGTAAAATCTCCTTAAATAATTGTCCCATAGAGCTTGTTTCCAGATGGCTTTAGTTTGATTATGCAAATTCTTAAAAAGCTCTCATTCATAAAAAAGTATGTGCTTAGTATTCTTCTTACAAATTTCTCAACAATTTCTCTGCAAGAACAGTTGACTCTCAGAATATTAATAAAGAGACATTTTTCTAATCAAGTTAACTTAAAACCTACTTACAATGCAATAAAATACAATTTATTCTTGTATAGCCCTAAATCACAACAGAAGTCATCTTCAATCGAGTGAGTTCATGTGCTTAACAGAATATTGGTCGCTGCTTAAATTGTAAAACAGCAGCAGAATGGACAATAAATATGACCCATTTGAATATGTGAGTCATGGTGTAGTGCTCGACCAGTCAAGCCACAGTGTGACACAGTTGTATAACAATAACATTAGTTTTCCAGAATGATTCCCCATCGCTCACTGAAACACATGTGACACAGGGATGTGACTGTTGAGGCCCCAAGGAAGATACATACTAACGTTTCCTATTTACAGGTGAGACATGGCAGGGTAAGGAAAGGGGCACTTTACTATCCCTGTAGGGACATGAGTCCTCTGCATCTGACCTATCCTGCAAAGCCTCTAGGGCTCTGGTGTTTTTAACCAGTGTGCCTTGAGATGTTATTTGGTTTGCCTTTGAAAATTATCCAATGTCACCTCATTGATAAAACATTGGTGTGTTTGAAACTTTGCAACTTACGCTCTGCAATGATAAGCGGTGGATAGAAGAGGAAGTATCCCACTAACTCAGCTGACAGCTGACCGAGGAGGTCTGAGGCCGCGGTGCCATTAAGGAAGACAGTGGCGTTCCTCACAGTGTAGACCAGGGACACAGCTGGCGAGTCGGCAGCCTGGGACACACTCAGCATCTGAAGCAGCACAAGACAGAGTCAACAGCTAAATTACAGAGGTGCAGTTCTTCTCATGTAAACTGGAGAGTGACACCATGTGTGAACTGCCATATCATCAATTCCCTGCATGAGCGGGCACAGCAGGGGGGGCTTCAAAGATGTTCACTCTTTGTCATCACAGCATGGACGACCAACAAGGCTATATATAAGGGCACCTCGTTAAAAACAGCTTTGATTGTGAAATTACACTACATACTATCCTTTATGTTTCCCATAAATAAATTATAACCTACCTATTGTTTTATCCATCCATCCATCCATTTTCTACCCCTTAATCCATTTCTGGGTCCACATAGCACCAGCCCCTCTCTGATCTTCCCACAGGTGGAGAGTCCACAGGAGGACCTATTGTTTTATCTGCTGAAATATTCATCATCAGGTCTATTCTATAACGTGTACCCCAGGAACAAAAACCAGGCCCTCCAAATGTTTCGATCCAGCCCACAGTCCATTATATTAATATCTGAACACACATTTTCCCTTGTTTAGTCCTAGTGTCCAGATCATGTCTTATCACTTGTATTTGTCTCACGGTGGGGAAGATTCGGTTTTAGATTTACAGTATGTTTTATCAGTTGGGACCTAGTTAGTCTCGGTAATGGTTAAATACTGGTTCAAGTCTTCAGTTGTTAGTTTTTCTGATTTTAAAGATTGACAATGAAGATCGAGGAGACCACAGATAATCTACCTCTATGGGGAGGTCACATGGTGAAGCTTTAAAAAGTAAAACACTGATAAATCACAGCAGATGGTACCTGAACAGAGAGTCTGTTGTGGGTGCTGAAAACTTTGGCCTGAGCTTCGTTGAACACTTTCTCCAGTCGCAGTTCCATTGTCTGAGAAAAGCGACAGGAGCGTGGATCATCAGCTACTCCCACAAACTGCAGCACTGCAAAACCAAACAGCACATCCATCCTCACTCACTATCTGTCAGTTTGCTGTTAAATTGATTTATGTCAGATCGCTTTAGAATGAAGAAGTTTTTACACGTTTCCTGGTTCTGACCTGTTTTGAGCTGTAAACTGGGGGCCAGGCTGCTCCTCCATAAAGCCACTGGCAGAGGCAGGGCAGTCACCATGGGGAGGTACTGGCGCAGATCTGCAATCAGCTTATCGCGGCCGTATGTGCTCAATGCATCCAGCACCACAGAGGGAGGGTAAACTATGTCTGTGCCAGTCACGTGATATGCCACCGTCATGTTGGGGGAACCAAACACAGTTTCTACCTGAAAAAACACACACAGTTGTCACATAAAGTTGACCTTTCTGTGAGGTAAAGAAACAAATGCTTGAATATAACTGAGGTAGTGGCACTAAGTCCTTTCAGCTCGATATAGCCCTGCTGTTTCTGTGACAGAGCCATTGAACGCCCAGAGTCAGTGCTCAGGCTCTTGACAATCTAAAGCCTTTGCGTGTTCTGTGTGAAAGGCCCTTTATTATCACTTCATCCTCTCCAGCTGCACCATGTGAAGGTGTTATTAAAAGATTGCATTTCCAGAAAGGTACTTTTAACCCACACAGCCGCTATCTCCAAGAGCATTAAGAGGCTCTCATCAGATTAGTGGTGCATTTTGCTATTCAATAAGTTGTTGGGCAGTGGAGAGGTCTGGCTATGAGCCATAACAACAGCTCTCTGCTTTTAGGAAACCAAAAAGGTTTTCTAAAAGAACTTACCATTCATGTAATTTATTTCTTGACTTTTTTGCATCAGTGCAGCACAGCTTTGCTTCAAACCATTCATAAGCTATAATTAAACACAGAAGCAATTTCCCTTGCCAACAGCTTGCTTCCTATTGGATGAGAGAGCAGTGGCACTAAAAAGAACCAAGGCGTTGTGAAATGGGCGACAGGAGTGCACTGAAGCACGACGCTTGGACACCACAGGGAGAGCGACATGTGAGAGGGCTGACCTTCACATTTGGCAGAACACACACACCTAACTCCAATAATGTGCTGCTTACAGATGCAAGAAAGCTGCATGACTTAACTGTAGGTAAGTGCACATGAATGTAGTTACAAAAGCACTTTACACTCAAAGCCACTAGACCAGAGAGATAAGTGGAACTGTCTCAAATGGAAAGTGCAGACAACATTCATTTTCAGACTTGTGACAGGTTTTACATCACTTGTATCGCTCAGACACATACAGTCTGATTGTGAACCACTGATGCTGAAAAAATACAATAAATCTTAGGAGCATTTTCTGTGTCGGGTTGAGAGGGAAAACAAAAGAAAGAACAACAGCTAAACACATTTGTTTTAAGATTGAACAATCTGTAATGCAGGCAGAGTTACTCAAATATGTGACAGCAGCAACTGTCTTTTGGGACACGTATAACCTCATTTCTATATTAGTCCTGATCTGCTCTAGCTTTGCATCAAGGTCTCTCCTGATGGACAAGCGCACAGCATGATGTGGAACAAGCATCAGAGAGTAACTCAATGCACTGTGTACTATCACTCACACAATAGTCATAACTGTGTCCAAACTAAGTCATCAAATCACTTTAAATGCATATAAGAATCCCTTAAAGATGACTTTTAACACATAATTCTTCTTCTAAAATTGTAGAAATTTACAATAATCAGCGGTGGGGTAAAACTTTGGAACCCACTACAGAATATGAAATAGAAAGATCTGCAAAAATCTATCTAATCTATGAATTTATATTAAACCAACGATACAAATGATGAAAAATATGTAATAAAAAAATTCAACAATAATGTTAAATCAAGCCAGTTTTAAGAGGCTGTGCTGCCATCCATATTCAAAATATTTGTTTTGAAGAGGATTAAGAAAGGAGCCGGAAACATACGATTATGTCCTTCTTTCTGCTTCTTTCATTTGTGTAACTGGACAACAATTATTATAAATGCAATGCTAATATGTTGTGTCCACAATTGAAATAAATTAATACATAAATAATGAGATTCATGATAACTTTTAGGTTTTAGAAAGTCAAATAATATCTTCAGTATGAAACATCAGAATCAGAATCAGAATCAGAATCATTTTTATTGCCAACGTAAGTAACGGGAGGTCACAGACTTGGAAATTGCTTTGGCTCAGTGCAACAGTCAAAAAGAGATAATAAAAATAAGAATAAAAAACACTTCTAAAGAATAAATTTAAATTTAAAATAGAGTTACAGTTACTATTTACAATATACAAGTGCACATGGTGCACACAATGTAAGGTGACAGCAGTACAGTGAAGTAAAGTGACGTATGATGGGCAGTAAAGTGACTTTATAAAGGGCGGGGGACAGGTTAAGAAGTGTTCAAGAGTCCAACAGCAGAGGGGAAGAAACTGTTCTTGTGGCGGGAGGTTCTAGTCCTGATGGACCGCAGCCTCCTGCCTGAGGGGAGTGGTTGGAATAGTCCATGTGCAGGGTGAGAGGGGGTCGGCTGTGATACGACCAGCCCGGCCTCGAGCTCGGGCGACGTACAGGTCCTGCAGCGATGGAAGGCTGCGGCCGATCACTTCCTCTGCAGAGCGCACAATGCGCTGTAGTCTCTGTTTGTCCCTGACTGTGGCTCCAGCGAACCACACGGTGATGGAGGAGGTGAGGATGGACTCGATGATGGCCGTGTAGAACTGCACCAACATCTGTGCAGGCAGCTTGGCTTTCCTGAGCTGCCGCAGGAAGTACATCCTCTGCTGGGCCTTCTTGATGAGGGAGCTGATGGTCGGCTCCCACTTGAGGTCCTGGGTGATGGTGGTGCCCAGGAAACGGAAGGACTCCACAGAGGTGATGGGGGAGTCCATCACGGAGGGTGGGGGCGGGGGGACAGTGCTCTTCCTGAAGTCCACAATCATCTCCACTGTCTTCTGGGCGTTCAGCTCCAGGTTGTTACCACTGCACCAGGACACCAGCCGGTCCACCTCCCTCCTGTAGGCGGACTCATCGTTGTTGGAGATGAGTCCAATGAGGGTGGTGTCGTCCGCGAACTTGATCAGCTTCACGGAGTCGTGGCTGGAGGTGCAGTGGTTGGTGTACAGGGAGAAGAGCAGGGGAGAAAGAACACAGCCCTGTGGGGCTCCTGTATTTATAATCCGAGAGTCCGAGACATTCTTCCCCAGACGCACTCGCTGCTTCCTGTCCGTCAGGAAGTCAATGATCCACCTGCAGGTGGAATCGGGCACGTTGAGCTGGGAGAGCTTGTCCTGGAGCAGGGATGGCAGGATTGTGTTGAAGGCAGAGCTGAAGTCCACGAACAGGACCCTGGCGTAGGTCCCCGGGGAGTCCAGGTGCTGTAGGATGTGGTGGAGGGCCAGGTTAATGGCGTCGTCTACAGATCTGTTGGCTCTGTAGGCGAACTGCAGGGGGTCCAGGAGGGGGGAGGTGAGGGACTTGAGATGGGAGAGAACCAGGCGTTCAAATGACTTCATGACGACAGACGTAAGTGCTACAGGTCTGTAGTCATTGAGTCCTGTGATCCTGGGCTTCTTCGGGACGGGGACAATGATGGAGGATTTGAAGCAGGCCGGGACATGGCAGGACTGCAGAGAGGAGTTGAAAATGTCCGTGAACACAGGAGTAAGCTCACTGGCGCAGTGTCTCAGAGTGGCCGGAGACACGTGGTCCGGGCCAGGAGCTTTGCGGGGGTGCAGCCTCAGGAAGAGTTGTTTAATCTCTTTAGCGGCTATTGTTAGGCTGGGGGCAGGGCTGATGGGTGGGTCGTTAGAGTAGTGGGGGGTGGGGGAGGGAGAGGTGTCAGGGGCAGCATCAAAGCGACTGAAAAATAAGTTCAGATCGTCAGCTAGCTTGTGGTCATCAGCACAGGGGGGGGCTTTGGGTTTGTAGTTGGTGATCTCCCGTAGGCCCCTCCAGACAGAAGCAGTATCGTTGTTACCAAACTGCTCCTGTAGTCGTTCTCTGTGCCGGGACTTGGCTGCTTTCAGTTCTTTCCTGAACTGATATTTAGCTGCTTTGTAGCCGCTGCGGTCCCCCTCCCTGAAAGCAGACTCCTTTGCTTTCCTGAGCTGCCGGAGTTTAGCAGTGAACCAGGGTTTGTCGTTGTTATAGATGACCCTGGTCCTTGTTGGAATGATGCTATCCTCACAGAAGTGGATGTATGACGTCACAGTGTCCGTATATTCATCCAAGCTGTCTGTGGCAGCTCTGAAAAGGTCCCAGTCTGTAGATTCCATGCATGCGCGCAGCTCTTCCACAGCTTCATCAGACCACACTTTGGAGCTCCTCACTGCAGGTTTCGAGAGCTTTAGTCTCTGTCTGTAAGCAGGAACCAGATGTATCATGGAGTGATCTGAGAAGCCGAGGGCTGGCTTGGGAACAGCGCGAAAAGCTCCGCGCACGGTGGTGTAACAGTGATCCAGAGTGTTCTCCTCTCTGGTCGGGCATTTGATAAACTGTCTGTATTTGGGTAATTCCTGAGCTCAAGTTTCCCTTATTAAAATCCCCCAGGATAATAATCAGAGAGTCCGGGTATAAAAGTTCCATACACAGTACTTGCTCTGCGAGTGCGCGCTGAGCCTCGCGCGCGTCCGCGCATGGCGGTATGTAAACAGAGGCAAGAATGAATGAAACAATTTCCCGCGGGGAGTAATATGGTTTACAATGAATGAAAAGATATTCCAGAGCAGGAGAGCAGTGCTTGGAGATCACTGTCACATCGTTACACCAGTTTGTATTGACGTAGAAACAGAGCCCTCCGCCTCTGCTCTTCCCTGAGAGCGCACAATGGCGATCCGCGCGAAACAGCCCAAAGCCCTGCAGCTCCAGAGCGCAGTCCGGGATCCGCTCATTTAGCCAGGTCTCAGTGAAGCAGAGGACACAGGATGTGGCGAAGTCCTTGTTTCTTCTCATGAGCAGGCTGAGTTCGTCCATCTTATTGCCCAGTGAGCGTACGTTGGAGAGAAAAATGCCGGGGAGAGCCGTGCGCGCTCCTCTCCTCCTAAGACGCACGAGCAGGCCTCCTCGCTTTCCCCTTTTACGGGCCCACACTTTTTTGGCTAGAACATGAACTAAATCAGCCGCAGATGCCAAGAAAACAGGCAATAGGTCCATGGGAACGGTGGGTCGGATGTTCATAAGTTCCTCACGGGTGTAGGAACAGCCAGATGCACAGTTAAAAAGTAAAAACAAAAGAAAAAGAGAGCAGCAAAGAGCCATGTCGACCGTACGAGGCGCCATCTTGTAAGATGTATATACTTTAACATATACTGAGAAACAAGAATAAAGGGTAAGTAATGCGATTGGCCTGCCCCATTTCTTAGAGATGATGCACAATTGTTTTTTCATATATATTTTTTTCTCAATATTTGAAAATGACTTGCAAGCACTAGAGGAGAATTTCACTAAAATTGACTAAAGTTATTTTTGGGCATTTGATGTCAGTATGATGTCATTCAGTGCTATCGGTCTGAACTGTGGCGTCACTGGTTCAGTAGTCTGCTGTAAATATGTATGTTTATTTTTTGGGTTGTCATTTTTTTATCTGGACCTCATGTCTGTGATAAGGTTTAATAATAATAGAGGTACAATAACATCATACTACCACAAGACTGAGACAGACAGAGGGGGCAGAGTTACATGTTTGTTCCCGAAGTTTCTAACGTGGATGGATATATTTAAAAAAAACAGCTCTAGGTATGTTTTTGCAAAAGGAACAAATGTGGGAACATAGTTAAAAGCTCAAAAACAGTTGATTTTGCATCGTTTGTGTCACTTAAAACCAATTCCCTATGTTGTTTTCAGTACCAACATTGACCTGTGCCTGAGCCGAGCTGTCATTGAGCGCTTTCCTAAGGCCTTGACTCAGTCCCCTGCGCAGGTTCTGTCTCTGTATGCTGTCCAGTCTGTTCCTCCTCACATAGATGGACACCACTGACACAAAAACAAGAAAAGAAAACATGTCAGAGATAAGATATTTGAAATAGTTTGTAAGAAAACATTGAAGCTCAGATTACCTGTCTTCACCCACATTCTCTCTGTCACGTTGCACTGTTGAGGCGTGGATTCGGTGGTCGTAGTAAAAGGTGAGACAAAGACTGTAGTAGCGTACTTGGGAAGAGTTCTGGGGACTGGTGGAGTAAAAGTTCTCCTGTTGATTGGACTCCTGATGACTGGTGTCGTGATGGACCGCCTCGTTGTAGTGGCAAGCTGCGCAGTGGTAGTTCTGGTTGTACTGACGTGTGTTGTGGCCTTTTTAGGTGGTGAAGTACTAGTGGTTGTAGTAGTAGTAGTAGTAGAAGTAGAAGTTGTTGTAGTAGTAGGGCTACTTCTTGTTGTAGTAAACTGAGCAGAGGCTGTTGTGGTTTCCCAAGGGGGGTTCAGCGACGGTACCTGAGAAATATGTTGAGCAACTCCGGCCAAGATTACCGTTGGATCAATCTCTTTCTGATTCAGCGAAGAGATTGTGGTTTTTGCTTCAGTGGTTTGCTCACCGACTCTCGACGCTGTAAGGACAAGACATTCCTCAGTCAATTCTTGTGGATTGAGTTGAAAGAGTGAGAACTTGTTTAAACAGATGAGATGTGTGGACTTTGAGATTGCCAAAGGCTAAGTTTCAAGAGAAGTTTCAAGAGATGGCAACATCAGTCTCTGATGCAATGTGAACTGAGGTGGTGAAAATGATAACAGAAGGATATCTTCTCTATAGTTGTTGTGAAAGATTAAATATCAATAAAAATAAATATTGTGCATTATTATTGGGAAATATGGACATTAATTTAGTTGATATTTGTTGCTACTAAACTACATAGATGCTATATGGAGAAAGGAATGAATGAATACTTTATTTCGAGCCATGAAAAAGAACAACAACAACACACAACAGAATAGAGTAAGACACAATACATGATAATATACAAATATACATTAAGTTTTGTTTTATTAACACAAATCCAGCTCGAAAAGGAGTGGGAATAAGTTAAGACTTTTCAACTTCCACCCCCTATTTATTATTCAAATTTAATTTAATTTAAGTTACTTTTATTTAATTTAACTTTAATTATGTGGTTGCAAAAGCTTAGCTTAGTCAGTGGTATATTTACAGTTATGCAACAGTGACATTCACAACACTGTCAACATATATATAGAATCAAGGTTGACAGAAAATGTCACAATAGATCAATTGATTCCCAAAATTAAAGGAATGTCTATCTATTAGGGCTGTCAAAATTATCGCGTTAACGTACGTTAATTACATTGTTTATTAATCAGGTAAAAATAAATATAACGCGTTTAACGCATGTCCGAAAGACCCGCCCATGTATCCCATAATAACACTCAGAAGGCTGCGGACACATTCGTGTGTGAGATGGCAACAGAGCAGGTAGGCCCTCTGGGAATTCAAGTTTTAAAAGAATACGCGCGTGACCGCAGGGCACTTGCTGTTGTTTGCTATGAACTGAACTCCGCATCCTGCCGCTCTGGACAGAGGTTCCCACCTCCAGCTGCTGTGAGCCGCTAACAACAACACAGTGAACGGCGCTGCGGTCACGTGGTCATCTAAGACCATACACGCCATAGGACTATTCTCTGCATGTTGTGAGCGTGTCTTTGCGTAACCTGTGCACGCAAAAAAGACACCTCTGAAGCTGAACTATGGAGCCTCAGGAAGTGTTCGTGTCTCCTCCTGAAGCGCAACTAAACTCGCTAAATTACGGTACGTACATTTTCCCCTTTCATTAACAGCTCATGTTGGTTGTGGCCAAAAGTAAAAGGTTGTGAGCAAATCAAACAGATTCAAGTACATTTGGTATGAATCACAATGTGTCATTACATTTGATAATCTCATTTAACTTCAATTGGAGTGGATTTCAAAGAGAATGTTAAAAAATGTGATTAATTGTGAGTTAACTCATTATTGCTATGTGATTAATCAACAACAACAAAATTATTGTCTGACAGCCCTACTATATGTTGCAGTGGGAAAGGTTGTTCATTACTGGTGCTGTCCATGGTCCTGATTTTCTGTTTAATTTGAAAGCGATACAGTGTTGATCTGTAAATTACTGAATGAATGATCAAAGCTAACAGATGTAGTTTCGGGTACAAAAGCATTTCATTCAAAGAGCTCAAACTAGCTGCTTCCCCATGTGGTATAGGATGCCAGTGGTTGTGTGCCAATGCTGAAAAAAGCATTGCTGCACTGTCCATCACCGCATGAGGTAGAAGCTTCTCTGGAGGAAGCAGGGTAGAAAATAGATGTTTTTCTCCCAAAATATAAAAAGTAATGTATAACTTCCTAAACTAGAGTTCGTCTTCAGTGTGGCAGTCATGGCAGTTTATGAGGATTCTGGGTTATTCTAATGCATCCTAAAAACCTGGAGTAGTAGAGCAGAGAATTCTCCTATAGAGTGTTTATTCAACTTATAATTATCTTTTGTCACTAAACATGAAAGCTTTGGATTGGCATTAATATTTATATCTCTTTCCAATAAAGCAGGTGCTAAAGTTGTTGCAGAATTTATGCCTTGGCTTTTTGCTTTTAGCTGTGTTGCCTCTTCGTCTCAAATCACCTGTAAAAGGCAAATCGCGGCCATCCTTATCCAAAGAGGATTTAGCAGAGACCAGCATGATTTCAGATGCATTTCATGGTGTGACTAAACCCTTTGGGATATGTATTTTTGACCTAGATGAAGACATAATCTTGGTTTGAAATACAGATGTCTTTGCCGTGCATTGTCTATGCTTTGTGAATCCGCTCAAGGGAGAGGCTGTTTGAATCATAATTTGTATTAGTAGATTTCTTCTCTTATTGTTGTGCCTCTTCTCAAAGGAAAGTAGTGGTTCAGGCTGGATGATATAGTTGTGAACTCTGCTCCCTGAATTCTTCCTGACGTATAAATCATATTGATAGCGGGAGCTTTAGGGCCATTGTGACCTGCTGCCTTCAGTAAATCACTGTGATGAGATGCAGACTCCAAGGACCGTGTGCAGTAATGGATATGTGTGGACTGTGATCGCTGAAACCAAAAGTCTGCATCAGATGCTGTTGAGGGGCAGAAAATGGTTCTGATGTGTTGCACCATGTTTGCTGTTGTTACATCTAGATGTACCGTGTGTGAACTGAAAGATGACATAATTGCTTTGCCTCGGGACTCGAAGAACAGCAGAGTGCCTCAGTCTGCTTGTATTTGACAGCTGCTGGGTGACACCAGAGAAAACAGAGTGGAGGTGGGGCTGAAGTTGGATTTTGGGAATATTCCCTTTGACTTTGAACACAGAGTTTTTTGATGTGGATAAAATAAGATGTGAGGTTTGGAATAAAAAGAGAGCAAATCCCAGACTAGGTGAAATACTTTCCACTTATTTTGCTCTGTTCCTGCATTATTGCTCATGTTAGATCCAACAGGCAAAAGGTTGTGTTCATGTGACTTCACAACATTTTAAAGAGCCTACAGTTTATAAATACAGCAGAGCACGACTGAAAAATCCTTGCCAGGATTTGAAGACAAAAGATGTAAAATCTTAAATGTATGTCACATTCAGTTCTATGTTACGTAAGAAAAATACATCTTTGTCAGAAAATTGTATTTATGGTTTCATTATTTTCTCATAAAGGTGTTCACCTCTGCTGCTGTGACCCGTCCTGCTCCACCCAGAGGCTACACCATCTCTGCTGCTGTGACCCGTCCTGCTCCACCCAGAGGCTACACCACCTCTGCTGCTGTGACCCGTCCTGCTCCACCCAGAGGCTACACCACCTCTGCTGCTGTGACCCGTCCTGCTCCAACCAGAGGCTACACCATCTCTGCTGCTGTGACCCGTCCTGCTCCACCCAGAGGCTACACCACCTCTGCTGCTGTGACCCGTCCTGCTCCACCCAGAGGCTACACCACCTCTGCTGCTGTGACCCGTCCTGCTCCAACCAGAGGCTACACCATCTCTGCTGCTGTGACCCGTCCTGCTCCACCCAGAGGCTACACCACCTCTGCTGCTGTGACCCGTCCTGCTCCACCCAGAGGCTACACCATCTCTGCTGCTGTGACCCGTCCTGCTCCACCCAGAGGCTACACCATCTCTGCTGCTGTGACCCGTCCTGCTCCACCCAGAGGCTACACCACCTCTGCTGCTGTGACCCGTCCTGCTCCACCCAGAGGCTACACCACCTCTGCTGCTGTGACCCGTCCTGCTCCAACCAGAGGCTACACCATCTCTGCTGCTGTGACCCGTCCTGCTCCACCCAGAGGCTACACCACCTCTGCTGCTGTGACCCGTCCTGCTCCACCCAGAGGCTACTCCACCTCTGCTGCTGTGACCCGTCCTGCTCCAACCAGAGGCTACACCATCTCTGCTGCTGTGACCCGTCCTGCTCCACCCAGAGGCTACACCACCTCTGCTGCTGTGACCCGTCCTGCTCTAACCAGAGGCTACACCACCTCTGCTGCTGTGACCCGTCCTGCTCCACCCAGAGGCTACACCATCTCTGCTGCTGTGACCCGTCCTGCTCCACCCAGAGGCTACACCACCTCTGCTGCTGTGACCCGTCCTGCTCCACCCAGAGGCTACACCACCTCTGCTGCTGTGACCCGTCCTGCTCCACCCAGAGGCTACACCACCTCTGCTGCTGTGACCCGTCCTGCTCCACCCAGAGGCTACACCACCTCTGCTGCTGTGACCCGTCCTGCTCCACCCAGCAGCTACTCCACCTCTGCTGCTGTGACCCGTCCTGCTCCACCCAGAGGCTACACCACCTCTGCTGCTGTGACCTGAAGGGCTGTTGCTTATTATGACTATTGTTAGCTTTTAAGAACGATCAATTTTATTCTTTATCTTTGCTGCAATTGGACACCTGAATTTCTCCTACGAGGGGATCAATAAAGTATCTATTTATCTGTCTATCTAGAAGTGGAGACAATATTTAAAAAAACATTAGTCAGTAGGAAGGACTTTCAGACATAAGAATATACATTATAATTTGTGATTCTAATCACTATCAGACAATTATTTGGATGTTTTCCTTTTAAACATTTTTCAAAAATCTTCTTTCAATTAGAGTTCTAATAGCACCTCCTGTCCTCCAACTGAAATAAAATTCAAGAACATGAACATTTCTCTGGATAACTATTTTGCAGCACCTTCTTCGGAGAAAGAGGTTGTTCACTTTGCGCAGCCCACAATTTTCCATATTCAGTGTTAAGAAAAGAAAAGCCCGGACTCTTAGCCTTGAGAAAAGTGTATTTTTAGCTCAGTGGATGGTGAAAATGAAAAAGCTCTTGCGCAGATGGTGAAAATGTAGCTGGTGATGAAAACATAGGCACATTACGCTCTCCATCCATCAGAACCACATGTTGTGGAACAGACAGAGTTCGAGGCGGAAGTGTGACAAGATCATTAGTTGTGATTTTTTTTTTCCCAAACCTGAAGATGGAGAGGAGAAGGTGGATGAAGGCAATTGAATGGTACGGTCCTCATCTCTGGTGATGGTGGGAGAGGTTCGGCTTTGTGCGACTGGACGTCTTACGGTTTCCGCCATGACAGTGAAGACCGACGAAAAGGCCGGCTCTCCAGAGAAGCTTTCCCCTTTGGACTCAGGAGCACCATCCAAAATCAGGGCGGAGAAAGGCACTGCCCCCACTGCAGACAGATCGGCCAGTGGGTGCGGAGCAGATCGGACCGGGTCTCCCACAAGAGATGAAGAACCAGAGGCATCGTAGGTGGATCCACCTGCACACAGGAGAAAGATAGTTCAAGGTTCATCTTTATTGTCCCTTCGAGGAATTTTATCTTACACTCGCACTGCTGTTGGACACACAACATACAAGACACACTGACTCAACAACAGGACAACCAGCTCGTCTTTACAGTTTCAACACAGGAATATATCATGATACTGCACAATCCCATCAACGCAAGGATACAAAATTATGCACTAGTAAAAGACCACACTTGTAAAAACAGGTATTACTTAATCTGCAACATAGTACATACAATGACTTAAGATTGTTGAATGAATTGTGCAAAGAATCATCGGGATAGAGGAGTTGTGCGATCAGCCAGAGTTAGTGATAGGATACAAGGGACTTTTTACCCACGGTGCCCAGTTTTGATCTCAGTTGACTGTGGTTGTGAGCCATTGTGGGCACGGTTGTGAGATCCAGTCTTGCTTTGCCGTGGAAACAATGTCAATGTAAGCTGTATTTACAGAGCACATTTACAACAACACCAGCTGCCCAAAGTGCTTCACAGGCACAAAAGATACAAAATAAAAGTAAACAGGATAAAATACTTACAAACACATGCAAAAAGTTGGTGTTAAAAGGAAAGCTGTAAAAATGTGTCTTTAAACTAGATTTAAAAAGCTCCAATGAAGGATCTGCTATTATGTACGGAGGTAGACACAAGATAAACACATGTATCTTTGTCGGTCTACTGAATACGAGTCCATGCTCAGGTGAAAGGGATGCCAAGAGAAGAGACACACACTCTCAGCACTTTACCTAGTTTCAGTTATTTGTGTACAAAAAAAAATCTGACAAACAAAGAAACTAATTCAATTCAATTCATGTTTTGTGCCATTGGTTTGGATCAGGCGTATCAAACTCAGGTCCGTCGGCCAAATCCTGCCCATGAGACAATATTTAGTGGCCCCTGAAATTACTTTCACTAATCACAGTAACTTCCAGTATTGATGGTAAGGGTCTACTATGGAATGTTGTACTTCATTTTAAAAACAATTTTATCAGGAAAACAACTATATAATTGTATCTGTTCTGACATGTTAACAAACATGTAATTAGAAATTATTGTTCATCATCATCAATATCATCATCATCATAACTGTCAGTCTTCCAATACATCTCTTGTTGATATCTGGCCCAGTTATGGTTGAATCCAAACTTATGAGAAAAAAAATATTCAAACTCATGTCAAATCTAGCTTTTATACTTCAGGTCCCAACCTGGTCCCTGTTTTTAAATTTGCCCCCCCAAACAAAATCAGTTTGACACCCCTGGTTTAGATGTTTGCATTGTATAGTGGCAAATGAGAATGTCTTGTTTAAATACAATGCATGCTTCATTTTTATTTTATTTTATTATTTTGCACAAGAATACAGTTATTGGTTGTTTGTGGGTGGGGCAGTCACATACATGTAGTGTAGGTGGCAGAGAGGTAACAGAGTGAGAGATTAGGCCTGTTCATCTTTAACTTGACTTAGTTGTATTGATTTGCGACACGGCAGAAAAAGAGCAGCCGTTAAAGAAGACGAATGCTTCATGAGACCAGAGACACCACGCAGCCTCTCAGGGAAAGAGCTGAACATAAAACTAATGTTCAAGTTTGTGTTTCCAGTTTGTGCTCCACACTTCAACACTAAACACCATCACCACAGCAGTAGTTCTATAGCTCCATTGCAGACAGTTACAGCTGAGGGAAGCAAATATTTTCTTGCCCTTCATTAGTATCGGTTCATAGCAGGTATATTGGGTATGGCCAGAAAGTGAAAGTATCAGGATTGTAAAAGAGTAATCAGTGCATCCCTAGTGCAAAGTCTCTAATACCAAATAAGACTAGCTTGTTAAAATACATTGATGTACATCTTGAACACACTGATACGCATAGGTGGCACAAGGGGCTGAGTTTGAATCCTGGTCAGAACTGGGCCTTTCTGAGTGGGGTTTGCATCCTCTCCCTCCAGTACAGATATACTGTAGGGAGATACTTATTTATTTGTATGGATGGATGTGTTTCTTCTACGAAGGATCAATAAAGTATCAATCTATCTATATCAATGTTTGCATTGTAATTCAAACATTGACATAGATAGATAGCTAGATACTTTTTGATCTATTGACTATTTTCTGTGAAGGCTATTTTTGTATATGGCAATATATTCTATCTAAACAACGTTCTCAGCGTAGCAGCTAAAAACATTTATTTTTTGGTGACAGGGATTTCCAGTATCAATTCATAATGCGATTCATTTATTAAACATTGGGATCAAAATGGATGTTGCTGTCAGTTTACAAACTCACTTCACAACGGAGGCATTTGTGAGGGAGAGAGAGTAATATGAATGAACCAGCATGCAGAGGAAAGGACAACCATTTATGTATTCCTCAAGGAGTGGTTAAGACTTCAAAGTGAAACAAACAGAATTATTCAGAAGATTGCAGACGGATGTTCAAGAAAGGGATAACATTATTTTGCAAAACACACAGGGGGGTTACCAGTCTGTTTGATTAACAGAGACAGCTGAAATAAAGTTTTCCTCTGCCACATCATTCACTCTTGGCACATCTTGTGCATGTCCGTATATGAATCCTTTCATCCATTTATATGGCTTTGCAGTACTGTCACATCCCCCACCCACGCACTATGTTAACCCAGGAGTCTTCAGACTGTGGGAGGAACCGGAGTGGAGGGCTTAGTTTGAGGTGGGAGCTCTGCTAAACACAATCACTGGCCGTTCAGTGATTGGTGCTCAGATACGCTGATGGACCAACACACACACAAAACTCTACATAAGCTTTTAATGAAATTAAATTATTATATTTAAGTTCTTTAGAAAAACTTAAAAAAAAATGTTGAATTTTTTGACACAATATTGCTATCTTTGAACACATTTTATGAACCTAATACAATACAATATTTCTTCAATGAATCACTAATGTGTGGGAATGTGACTAGTGACATTGCAATACCCAAATGTGTAATGCACCTTTTGGTAGAGAAGGGGAGCAAGATTACGGAAAGCAAAACTCATTTTACACTAGGAGGAAAGGTATACACATGCTGTTGTGTCAGATCAGATCACTTTGGATAATGCAACATAAAAGAATTTAACAGGAAACTCTTAAAGGTGAGCGAGACGAGACTTTAATGTGACCACGTTTCATAAAGGGGCCTGAACATGGAACTATGCAGGAGATGGGTCTATTGTGCAAGTATACAAAGTTTTATAGCGGAAATACTAATAATGCATAGTACTTGTATAGCGCTTTTCATGACACTCAAAGACACGGTGGTGGCTACTACTGTAGCCACAGCTGCCCTGGAGCAGCCAACCAATCTGTGCCATCGGCCCCTTTGACCACCACCACTTCTACGCACACACAAACCAGACACTGAGAAAGGCCCTGTGCCAACTGGGATTGCAGTCTCTTTCGACCTGAGATCAGTTTAACCGGGTGCTACGTAGAACGAGTGAAATGTATTTTTCTGAAATGATTGAAGGCTGCAGTAACAATCTGCGTGTTTTGTTTTCGACAGTTAATAGATTAACAAACCCCCTGTTCATCTGTCATTAGAACTAACTTCTAACCGTAAATGAGTTTTCTATTTTTTCCAAAGACAAGGCAAAAACGCCATTGTCTCCAATCCACACATAAAGCTGCGTTCAGACCGGATCATGCGTTGCGGCGACTTTCAATGCAAAGTCAATGGTGACGCGCGTTAGAGCGTGGAACTGCATGTGCGTCTCGGGATGTACGCACATGCACGGCGCAGAAGCGGAACATTGATGCATGGAGGAGATTAAGATTGCTGAGCGTTTCCTCGGGACGCTCGTGCAGCGACAATTGGAGAGCCGCAAAGGGGTCACAGGGACGTTAGTGGTCTGAGCGAGCAGACTGAAAATACTCGTCAAAACAGGAGCTACACCGGGACTAAACCAGGGTTGACAATGGGGGACAAAGTGCTTGTGAATATATGCGTTCTCATTCTCCCGTGACTTTATACAACTGCTTCGAGCATGTTCGCCGATGCTGAAGTACCTTTTAGTAATAAAATAAACGTATGGCACACCTCTGTGAACACATACTGCTGTTATATAAAGTCTCTGGAAGGTCTCTGGACACAGAGACGATGCAGAGCTTCATTATTAAGAAGAACTTTGAACAAAAAGCTGCTAGCTTAACCCTGTTAGCATCAAAGTCCGCCCGCTACTTCCGCCACTTCCGGCGGGTGCCACCGCAGGCCAGGACTTCTGGTCTGAATACCCCTGCGTCTGAAATTGAGAGAATGTGTGTCTGGTGCACGTGGCGTCAGCATTCCAGCGTCTGCTGTCTGAACACGCCATAACAATTCAACAGCCAGCAAGGCTCATTGAGCCAACTCACTTTGCACCTGTAGATGACAAAACTGTCCAAGAGATATTCACAAGTCCGAGCTCCTACACATGCAGCCTGGATGTACTGTACTACCATTAGATTACAAAGTCTGTTCTGAGCAGTCTTTAGCCTTTACTCATGCAGATAGTAAACATGTCCCTTCATTCTGGAACATTCCCAAAGCCTGTACCATCTCAAATCTGCCATTTTATAGAGAAAGTTCAAGAAGAACTTTCTAAATTTCTTATTATCAACAACTCATTTGATATACTTCAGTCAGGCTTTAGACCTCACCACAGCACTGAGACTGCTCTCGTAAAGATAACAAATGATAGACGCAGGCAAAGTCTCAGTCTTAATCTTGTTATATCTGAGTGCAGCTTTTGACACTGTAGACCATGAGATCCTCTTACAGAGACTAGAGGACTGGGTTGGTGTCGCTGGCTCTGCCCAAAGTTGGTATAAGTCTTACCTTGAAGACAGGAAGTACTTTGTGGAGATTGGAAACTGTCTCGGATCATATGGCCCTGACCTGTGGAGTACCACAGGGGTCGATCCTGGGACTTCTTCGGGTTCAATCTCTACATGCTGCAGATAGGTCAGTTAATACGCAGTAACAATATGTCCTATCACAACGCAGACAACACTCAATTTATGCAAAAGACAGATTTATGGCTCACTTGCTGTAGGAGAACATGGACCAGTGAATTCACTCCTTTATGCATCCAACAGATCATTGAGTGGGTGCAAAGCAACTTCTTTCAGCTAAAGACAGACAAAAATAAAAAGAGAGAGCGTCATTTGTCACCTCCAGTCCCTCTCCCTAAAACCTTCAAATCAGGTCAGAATTCTAGAGGTAATACTGGACTCAGACTTGAATTTGAATAGCCGTGTCAAATCAGTATCATCAGCCTAAAAACATTGCCAGAATCAAAACATAGTGTCTAAAGCAGACTTGGAGATTCTTATCCATGCTTTTGTCTCCAGTAGGGGTGTGACGATATATCGATTTTTCGAGATATCGC